TGGCATGGATCCGCCGCGGGGGATCTACGGTACATTACATCGAAGCAAGCACGTGTTTTTCGGACGTTTGCGAGTAGGCTCTTTGCGAGTAGTGGAACACGCTCGGTGAGCCACGGGGCCTCCAGGTAGTCCCTGCGGCCCTCGACCGTGTGCTCAGCCGACCAGGCGCCCCAGTCCACGTCTATCTGGGCCAGGGAGCCTCCCGGGCGGGGAGGAGCGAGCTAGAACAGCACAGGTCGAACGTGCTTGGCAAGGACACGCGGAGAGGACACGAGACCCTCCCGAGGGGCACGCTGCCAGGGGAATTCAGAAGGCATGGGTCGCGAAACGCAGGACACAAGGGTATACCCTTGATTTGGCAGGAGGCAGGGCTGAACCTGAACGGTGTTTTTCGTTTCCGTTGTCGTTTTCCCTCGCTTTTGTCTCGAATCCGCCTTCACCGCAAACGAAGTCGACACGAAAACGGCCCACGAAATCACCAAAAACACAGTTTAGGTCCAGCCCTGGCAGGAGGGTCGACCTGCCAATCAGGGCCGACTGCGGTCGCTGACGTGCCCAGGGGGGGGGGCGGCGGCAGAGGGGCGTCTCCGAAGCCTTCTCCGAAGCCACAGGCAGAGATTCAGCAGGCCGGGGGCCCTCTGGGAAGCCCCGACGCCTTGAGGAAGCCCGCCCCCTCTCGGGCGTCCGGTGGCTCCTGGGTCACACCTCGGCCCTTCGGCAGCCGCTCGGGACGATCCGGGCAAACCCCGGAACGCCCTCGGCCCTCGGCGGGGCGCAGCTGCTGGAGCGCGCCCCGACGGTGGAGGGTCGCCGATGCCAGGCGAGACGCCCGAAAATCTCGAACCTGGAACCTGGAATGGTGGGCCTGTGTTCCACCACCACCACCACCACCATAAGTTGGAGGGGAGAAGCAGGTGGAGGAGGGGAGGGAGAGGAGGAGGAGAAAGAGGAGGAGGAGGGGGAGGAGGAGGAGGAGGAGGAGGAGGAGGAGGAGGAGGTGGAGGAGGAGGAGGTGGATGAGGAGGAGCCCCTCCCCCTCCAACCTATGATGGTGGTGGTGGTGGAAAACAGGCCCATCATGGAACCTCGAGACCGAGACTCCCATACGATGGGGGAGGGGAGAGGAGGGTCGGCGGCGAGCCTGGGAGGATAACAAAAAGAGATGGCCGTGTCGAAGGCTCGGAAAAAAAACAACCAGGCCTTTGGAGAGGTTTTCGGAGCCTTCCCCGGAGACGCAGAAAAATTCTCAGAGGGCGCGACGGCTTCTGAAAAGCCCCGCAGCCTTCTGAGAAAGCCTTCTCCTTCTCACTTCCCCCCCTCGCTCGCCGCCGAGTTGAACCTCGAGCCCGAAACTCCAACCCGACGGGGAGGGGAGAGGAGGGTAGGAAGGCAGGACAGGACGGGCGCCGACACCGTTCCGCGCGCGTGCGGGGAACGCCTCCCACGGAGGGATCGTGCAACAATAGCGCGGTGGCCCCGGTCGGGCGCGCATTCACGGGGAGTGATCGATGGGGAGGGGAGAAAAGGTGCCCTATTCGGGCGCTCAATGCCCCCCTCTCAACACGACTGGGCCCTTTTAGGAGCCATAAAAAGGCCCCTTTTCGGCAACCCTCGCTGCCCCTCATGTACCGCTCCCCTTCATCGCGCGCCCCCAAACCCAGTACGATCGCGCTGATTCCAATGTGCTGCAGCTGCCCCTCTGGACCTTTATTTCTCTTAGCACGACCTCTTGGGACGAGAAAGAGGAACGGCGCGGGGGCGAAACGAACATCCGATGTACGTCCCACACGCGCGTCGCATCGGCAATTCGATGGAAAACTCCATACGGAAACGCGCAAACATCGCATCGGCGCAACAGGTGGGGTAGCAAAATCATCGTCGCAACAAGCGCAGCAACAACTGCAATCGTAACGTTATGCGTTCACTCCGTTTCAACGCGCATCGTATACCAACCCAACTCTCACAACCACTACTTGCAAATGCCGATGCGGGAAATCCGCCGATCTGGCGTGTGAGTCTCAAAGACCCTCGGAACAGCCTGGGCCTCAATTCCTGAGTTTCAGCTCTGCTGGGGGGTGGGTGCCGGGGTGGCTCTGCCAGGGTAGCGGGGGTGGGTGGTCGATTTAATTCCCGAGGCGGAATCGGAACTCCAGATCACTCCAGCAGGGAAAGCCCCGACATGGGCCAAGGGGGCTCCGAGTCGCCGAACGATCGCTACAAAACGCCCAATGTGTCCCCGAGGCGGCTCCAGAAGCCTCCAAGATGCCCTCAGACACCCTGAAAAAAAAAGGCCTCCCAAAGAAGGCCACAAGAAGCAACAAGTGCCCCATTCCCGATGGAAAACGTACAACTTTAGCATATTCGCCTCTCGGGCCTTCAGAACGTAGCAGACGCTCCAAGAGATCCCCAAAACGGCCCAAGAAGTCGCCAAGAGGGCTCCAACCAAGACGGCCCCAAAAGGGCCCAAGATGGCCCTGGAGGCCCCCGGAAAAGACCCAAGAGGGCCCCAGGACGGGCCCAAGAGGCGCCTGAGAGGGCGCCAAGACGGCGGAAGACGTACCGAAGACGGCCCAAGAAACCCCAAGCAGGCTCCCGGCGGCGCCCCAAGAGGCCTGAAGAAGCCCCAAGACGCTTCCAACTGGCCCCGCAGAGGCCCCCTGAACCCCCTCAAGGCCCCCAAGAGTTTCAAACATGCATCCAAGACGCTTTCTAGGAGGCCTCCAAGCTGCCTCCAAGCTGCCTCCAAGAAACCCACAACCGGCCCCAATCCTTCCACAACGCCTACGCCTGAACACCAGCGCTGCAGCACAAAAAATTCTTCCACGCTTTCACATATTCTCCCGTTTTTGGTGTCCTTCACACCAATGATCTCACAAGGGCCCGCAGAGGACCGCGCGAAGGCCCCAGCGACCCCTTGAGTGTTTTGGGTCAGCGTAAGGAGGGCTATGTTGCGTTCCTGGGTTTTGATGGCCCCGAGGACGTCGACTTTTGATGACCTCGTTTTCGGGGGGGGGGGCCGATCGAGGAAACGCTGATGGGCTCAATTTTGGGGCGCGCAAGCGCCAAAAATACTTGATCATGTCAGCGTTTGGGACATCATGCGCAATGGCGCGTTCTGATCGTTTCTCGTGCCCTGGCTCTTGGGGGCTTCACGCAGAGACCCGCGCATTACCGAAACAGGCACTCGGTTCACGCATGGGCTTGCGCAGCCCAGACAAGTCTCTGAGCCCCCATTTGCATGCATGGCCCGAGGTTCAGACGGAAACCGCGAGAAGGAGGCAAGTTGCAAAGGGAAGAGCGGGGGAGGCGGGAAGAGGGGGAGGGATGCAGGAGGGGAAAAGTGCATGAGAGGGACGAGGCGAAGGGGGTCACGCGGGGGGAGCGAGAGGGAGAGGATGAGAGAGAACCTGAACATAGATAGAGGTGAAAGAGGAGGGGAAAGGGGGTGACTAGTAATGATGGCCGAGTGGAGATGCATGGATGATGCATGGGATGATGGAGATGCTGGGACGATGATGCTTCCACTTTTTTCTCGCGGCAGGGCGGCGTCTGCCGCGGCGCAGTCGGCCTGAGCGGGTCTAGGCAGACTTGATCTGGGATGCTTTCTCAAAGATCTGAGCCATGAGCTTGTTTGCGGCCACGCCGCGATCTGCAACTGCGTCGAGCTCGTTCGAGACCTCGTCATTGATCTGATCTGCGGGCTTCCTCATCAACTGCATGAGGGCCGCCTCCGAAACCGTAGTGTTTGCCTCTGCGAGCGTGTCCTTGAACGGCTCCAACAGGCCGTTCACGCGACTACTGATATTGAACGTCCTGCCCTTCGAGCGTGCATCATCAGCGAGTGCCCTGTAGTCCGCCAGCGCCTTATTCAGCAGCTTGCCGCGCTTGCCTTGGAAGAGCGTGGTCCTTGCGTGGGCGGCGACATCGTCATAGCTTGATTCTTCGGACAGCGCTGCCTTCCACGAGCTGCCGTCATCCATGCCACCTCTCAGCTAGGTGATCGTCTCCTGGAGCTGCTGGAGGTCGAACTCGATGGACCTGCCGACCTCATCGACGAACGCCGTGATGTCAGCATTGCACTGCCTCATCTGGGCAGCCCAGAAGTCGTTGATCTCCGAGACCGTCGCCAAGCCGTCGACCTGCCCGATCGCCGTGCCATCTGGCGGCGACTTCTCCGCCTCCTTCACGCTCGCCACCAAGAGAGTCCACTTATCGCGGCCACCCTTCTGCGCAACCTGCTGGCCCACGTCGCCGAGGGCCGCCAGAGAGATCCTCATCGCGGCGGCGTCGCAGAAGAGCTTGTAGTGACCAAGGAGGCCCGATATGGTCGTCAACCTGGCGGCGCGAGAATCGCTATGCACTATGTCGGCGCACTTGGCAGCGAGATCCACGGCCTGCGAGATCTTGGCGACGTCCTCAGCGTCGAGAGCGTCTGGCGGGGCGGTGACGATCAGCTTGGCTAGGTCCGCCACGCCGTCCTCGAAGAGCTTCGCGGTGGCCTCGCCAGCGAAGACCTCCCCATTAAGATCGTCCAGCGCCTGCCTCAGCTCGAACGACCCGATGACCCCGACATCGCCATCCTCCTGGCAGGGTGGCGGGCAGGGCGGGCGGGGGGTGGCGAGGACTGCAATTGGGCGCGGCGCATCGACCCCCGACTGCGCCTCACTGACTCATCGGCTACGCCTGCGCCACTCGCGCCAACCGCCGCCATCTCGCCCCGACGAGCCCAGATTTCCCATGGAGGGCGCGGGCGTGAATGACGCGGCGCCGCCGATGAGCCAGCGCAGCGGCACGCCCCCCATAACATGGCGTTGGGGAAGGCTCGGGAAGGGGGGGCACGGCCAAATCAAACCACGGGGCGAGCCAATTTGAAAAGGCGCCTAACGCAATCAGGCAGATCGGCTCAGAGACTACAGCATCGGGGCACCATCGTGGGGCCCGATGAGAAACTGAAAGCAACTGAACCCTGTGGCGGGGTGGGGTGGCGGGCCACTGGTTTATCATTGAGGCCCGTCCTCCTTGGTGCACTCTTTCATGCGGTTCAGGACCGCGTCGCGCTTCCTCTCGGAGCCGAGCTTGGTCTGGGTCAACTCCATGGCCTCCTCTGATGCCGTCAGCCTGGCCGTGTCCAAAATGCCGCTCGCCTTCTTCGCAGTGGAGGCCGCAATCAGGTTGGATATGACCTCGCGAATCTGCCCAATAGCGTCGTACCCGAGCGAGTGCTCTCCCGCAGCGGAGGTGGCCTGCACGACCCACTCGGCGAAGGCCTTCTCCAACTCGAGGACGCCACCAGTGCGGCTTCGGTCGATCCACCCCTTCAGTTTGCGCGATGCCGTGACCGCAGAGTCAAGCTGGTTGGACTTCACCTTGGCCACCGCCGCCAAGATCTCGGGCCCGACCTGCAAGTCACTGAGGGCATGCTCGAGGTACTCGGTGGTCAGGCGAGCCCAGTGGGGGTCGGACATCAAGCTGTCGCGGCAAAGGGTCCACTCCTTGCTATATGTGCCGTTCAACATCTTCCTTACCGCCGCCCTGTCAGTCACCATATCAGCTGCCTTAGGGCTCGAGTCCGATATCACGAGCAATGCCTCAGCGCAAACCTGCAGCACCGCGGCGATATTGACCCAATCGGGGAACTTCTCCTTGTCCCCCAAGACCACGCTGCATTCGCTCACGAACTCTCTCGCGCAGCTCCTCACGATCTCGACCGACGCCTCACCCTTGGCGACCACCTCTGCCAGGAACGAGTTGAGGAAGGTATCCCTGCAAGCATTGGCCTTATCATTATTGCTCATGCGCAGGAGGTGGACCCGCGGGCGCTTGAGCTGGAACGCGGCCCCCTGGTCGGCATCCGCGGGCGCCCACGGCAAGAGCGCCTTGACCACGTCGTCGCCAGCCTCGGCCTCCGACACGACCTTGCAAATCAGGCGGTCCAGGAAAGTGCTGGCGTCCAACACGTCACTATCACCGATGATATCGAACTGCGTCGCCCTGTCTTTGGGCGTCATCGTAGCGAGGTTCTTGTGGAGAGCGATCGCCGCGTCCACTTTGGCTAAGTGCTTTGCCCTGTTGATCTCGACTCCGCGCTGCTTGGGGTTGAAGCGGCGCAAGGCGTAAGTGCGGTCGCCCATCTTGGTGCCCTCCAGGATGGCGGCAAGCGGGTAATCGTGGACAAGCTCGTCCAAGCGCAGCTTCTCTGCCGAGGCCGCAGGGGAAAGGCCATGCTGACCTCCGCCTCGGCGACCTCCCGCGGCCCTGCCGACGACGGTCATGGCGGCGACTGACCGAGCACCTCGCGACGACTGCCGCGGTGCGCGCGCCATGCGGCTGGGCGCGACACTGGCGGGACCACGTCGGCCACCGCTGGCGGCTGGCCCCGCCGCTGGAGCCGCGCCCGACGCCTCGCCGTCGCTGTTGCTGGCCTTGCCCGAGCTCTCATCGTCGTCACCCTCGTCGGGGGCCGCCGCCGCCTCGGCGTCGGCGGCACCGCTCGCACCCCCGCCCGCTGCATCAGCCGCGCCAGCCGCTGCCTCGAGGATTCCAGCGGCCCCCCTCGCAGTGTCTGCGCGACCCCCCGCCCGAGAGCCCTCGCCGCCCGATCGGTCAAGGCCCGACCCCCCGCGCCCAGAAACGTCGGGGGTCAAACTGAGACGCCAGCCCCGTCAAATGCACCCCCCCGCCCAGACAACGATCACCTAAAGAAAACGCACGGAGCCCAGGGAGCCGAACATCGAAAACAAGTGGGGAGGTACTCGCATCGCCTTTCATCGGGATCCGCTGGCACCCGAACCGCCCCCTCATCAACGCATGCACGGCCCTCCCCCTGGGGCTGCGGGGACAAGTTCGGGGGGGAGGGGGACACGAAGCGGGGCGCCGAGAGCCCCGGGCTGGGGGGCCGCGCGGGGCAGAGGGTGCAGCCGCCGAAAACCTCGGACACCTGTTCACCACCGTCAGGGCGAGCAGCTCCGCCAGCAGCCCGCGCCAACTTTGCCCCCTGCAGCTGCTTCACCAAGGAATCGATATCGGGCGGCTTGACGTGGCCGCGGCACGGGACTGGCAACATCTTGGTGACCTCGGCCAGCGCCTTCTTCATCTCCACCTGTGACTGCGTGTCTGTAAGCGCTGCCCTCCGAGGTAGCGTGCACGCGACCTTCTGGCACTTCACGGTAGTGAAAGTCTGCACCTCCACGGGCGGCTTATCGGGGTGCGCGGCGCACACGGCCGTCAGCTTCTGCTTGGTCAGCGGCGCCAAGACCTTCTGGGTCGAGATATCGGCCATCCCTACAGTGACGTTGCCGCCAGCCTGCTTCTCCAGCAGCTCGGGCTTCATGCAAATGTAGTTCCCTATCGTAGTGTAGCCTTGCTCGACAACGGCGTTGACCTCCTCCTGGTCGAACGCCGCCTTCTCTGGATTCTTCGAGATGTCCTTCGTGTCGTCGACCCGCTTCTTGTACTTGCTGTCGCCCTTCAGCTTGGCGCAGTGCTTGGTCCATGAGGTCTCGTGCTTGAAGACTCTCTCGTACGGGTCCCAGCACGGAATGCACGCAAAGCCAACCCGTTCAACCTCGCCCGTCTCGTTGGGGACCTCAGGCCATTGCGCGCTCGGGTCGGAGCGCTTCACGCCGCACGAGCCACAACAGACCGTGTCGCTTTTGCTAAGCATCTTCCTCTTCTGTGGCAGAGGGGGCGCCTCTTGCTCTGTGTCATCTTCCTCTGGCGCCTCCTGCGTCTCGCTCGGGTCAGCGGCTCCCCTCTTCCCGCGGCGACCTCCACCTCTCGCCATTGCAACCGTAGCTCACGTGGCGCGTCAAGCTGGAGCGCACAAGATGCGCCTGCAAATCGAAAAGGCGCGCCTGAATGCAGAAATTTCGAGCCAAAAGGTCACGGAGTGCGACGGCGACGACAGGCCTACGACGGGGCCAGCCCGCACCAACAGCGGAGTTGCGCCAGCCAGGGGCCGCGAGCGCTTTGAAACCCCCACGGCAGCACGCAGCACAATGCAATGCAAGAGTCGTGCCATACAAAGGCCTGCAACCCCGACCTACGAGACGATATCGTCCGCAGTGCAATTCCTGGATACGCAATGCCACGCATTACTATGCGATGCGCGACGGGGTGCCACGCGCGACCCTCTGGCAATACCTATCGAAGTGAACCCGACGCAATGCATAGCAATGCAATGATGGGCATCCGCGGGCACGCGCACGTGGTTCACCCCCCCTGCTGCGTAGCTAACCTACGGCTTGGTGACGAGAGCACCATCTGGCGAGGATGCGGGGGGGGGAGGGCCCGATGAAAACGCTCAGGGGAGGCGTTCGGTTATGTAGCGACCCCGTCCAAACTGAGAGGCTGAGCACAGAGGCCACGGCGCTCGACGGGGCGGCGCCCGAAACGACTGCAGATCTTTTGTCAGCCAAGATTTCCGAGGCGAGGGCGACAAACGCAAGGCGCACATGCAACGGTCACCCACAATCGCGCACCATCTAATCTGGTCTACGGGTCCGCGGGGCGCGCGCCGAGCTGACTACTAGGTGATGATCTAGTCACCTGGCCTGTTTCTGACTCTCAGTCGGAGCTCGAATGCTCAGGGCCGTCACGAGGATTATCAGTCGAGCCGCCCTCGTCCCCCCCGTGACCGTGATTTGGGGCGCCAGCGCCGCCATCGCCCGCATTGTCGATCCTGCTCTGGAGACTCTGGAGGCGACGAATATCTGCCCTCATCCGCAGAATCAACGTCTTTGCCCAGGCCGCCTGCGTCTCAAGCACCCCGATGCGGTTGACTGCCCCCCCCGTCCCCTCACCCTCCCGCTGCCCCCGCCGACCATGGCCCCATCCATGCCCACTGACACCCCACTATCCTCCCCCGTGCCCTTGCTACCCTCCTGCAAGGCCGCCATCTTATTCCGACCCGCCCCACCCCCTGAATCCCGCCATCCCCGATCCTGGGCGTACGTAGGGAGGGTGCCGCCAGGGCCGTGCGGCGCGCTGGTCTCGTGGCCCTGGTCGCTGAGCGGCACCGGCCCAGGCGGGGCCTCCGAAATTGGGAGACTTGGCGACGTCAGCGGCGCGCTCGGCGGCTGCCTCGACCGCGGCGAACGGGACCGCCTCGCCGCGAGCGCGCCCGAGGCTGCCGCCCCCGACGAACTGGCCTCGGGTGGCCCGCCCTCTGCTGCCATCGCCGCCCTGGGCTGGAGCGGGCGTTCGGCGACGCCCCCCGCTCGCGCGCGCGGCGGCGCGCCCCCTCCCCCCCGTCCTGGCCGAATCACCTATCGGAGGGGCGCCGCCTAACGCCCGCTCTGGTAAACAAACGCCCTCAACGTTCGCAGTGGCGGCCGAAGTCGGAAATATATTCGTGCTGGAACCGCTGCGGCCCAGCCCAACCCCTCGCGCCCCTCACGAGCGCCTGGCACGGCATAAATCGCAAATGGAAGCCCGATTGGGCCTCGAGGCCCAAAGGGCCGCTGCGCCGAGGAATGCTGTTCGGGGAAACGAAACACTGGCGGACCCCCGCCCCCCTCGCGCCTCTACCCCGCGCCCCTTATCCCCATCAATTTCCTGCCCCCTCATTCTTCCTCACCCAATGTACCCCCCGTGGGCTGCCGCGACGGCGAAGGGGGCGCGGGGCCCGATTGCCCGCCGAGCCGCGGCCCAGAGCTCGGCCGCACAAGAGCCCCTCGAAGGCCCCCTAGGAAGTGGCCCCGCATGCCGTCCGCCATAAACAAAATCCGATATTGAAAACTATCGCCCCCCCCCGAAACGGAATGGCTTGACACCCTGCGCGATCACTGCGGTTCAGCCCTCGTTCGGCACATCGAATGCGGAGGGGCGCTGCACCCGAGGGCGGGGGAATCTGGCGCCCCTATGGCGGAGGACTTCGGCACCGAGCAAGGGAAGGGTCCAGAGCGCCATGCGCTGTGCGCACCAAGCGCCCCCATCGCAATAATATGATGCACCGTTCCTCATCCCAACTACCCCTCGCCCCATCCACTTCCTCCCCTCCTCCTTCCTACTCCCACCCCCCCGTGTCGATGCAAGACGCGCAGCCTCATCGGGGGAACAGATCGACCCATGCGGGCGGGGAGTTAGGGAGGGGAGGGGCGTGGCCAAGCCCCATGCTCCCCGACCTTTTTGCAACTAAACCTTGCGATCGCAATCGCCGAACATGCAGCGTGCAATCCATCGTGCTGGAAGGGTCACTGCACCAGTGCAACATATCAAGCGCCTCTCGCGCTCGCGATGCATGCGATTGCAGCTTGCTCTGCGCCTTCGCGCTGAGCGGACCCTGACCAAGAGGAGCGGCAATGGCAGCGGCGCAAAGCAGCCTGCGCGCAAACCCAAGCTCGATCACCAATGCTGCCGACTGGCAAATTCTGGCACATAAACGCCTGCATTGAACATCAAGAGACGGAGCAGACGCTGCATGCACATCTACTTGGCACCTGGCGATAAGCTGCCTGGAACCTGGCTGACCGTCTGAAGCATATGGCCGCCTGGCCACTGCGAGGTATACCTCGCTTGAGGCAGGGGCGGTACACAACGCAAGAGGGGGCGACGCGCGCGGCTGGCGAGTCGCGGGTGCTCAGCTGGAGGCAACGCTCGGACCAGCCCAACTCGAGGAACTGCCCTCGGACTTGGCAGCAGACTCGGGCTTGGGCTGCATCAGCCCATCAGCGCCCTGACCAGCATCATCATCATCGCTGTCGTAGACGGCGATAGCTGGCGCCTGACCCCCGAAGCTAGCCTGAAAAGTCAGGCGCGGGCCACTCGGCGGAACCACCCTCGCGACCTTCGACTGGGGACTGCCGCCGCCCTCATCACCAGGGGCCCTTGGGCACGCGGCCGCGGGCGAGCCCGAACCGAGGGCCGCCTCCTCAGGCGGGGGCGCTGGCTCGAGTGCGTTCTCGCCCTGCCCATTCGCAACGGAGCCCGCTGAAATTGCCGCCAGCGTTGCCAATGCCGTCCTCCTGGACTCCACTTTCCACTGCGACTCTACCAAGTGCTCGTCGCCCACCTCCTCTTCTGCCGCCCTGTACCCTGCAGCGGAATCCTCGAGCTGAGCAGGCCGAGCGCCACTTGGAGACCTGGGCGGCGGCTCCAGAGGAGTACCAGGGCAAGGGGCAGATCTCAGCGGGGTGACCTGACCACTCCGCCCTGGACCGCCCTCCTCGGCATTGGGGGGCCTGGACCCTACGACCGTTACCGTGCAGGGGAGACTTGTGCTCAGAGAAGCAACGTAGGTCTCTGGAAGCTCGGGAATGGTCACGAGCAAGTGCGCCGAACCACTCACCCCGACCGCCAGCCCAGGCACCGAGGATGGCAGCATCACCTTTGGGTGGACAGTAACAATCGCCGAAACCAAACCTCTAACAAATATTTGGGGCCACGAGGCTACGGGATGCTCTGTGCGCAATGATGCAGCGCGCTTGCTAACATTGGTTTCGCACTGGCGGTCGCGGCGCCCCTTTGCAAATGCATGAGAGGGCGTTGCGAGTCCACAGCAAAAGCGCGCGCGAGTCCCAATGTAATTGCGGGGCAAATCCTGGCGCTAGTACGCTGGATGCAAATTGTCCGAACCCAAATCCAAATCAAAACGCCCCTGGGAATGATTGCGGTTCCATGGGCTCCATGACGCCCCCAAAACTTTGCCCGACACAATCAAGAGCTCGCGGTGGGATGGGGGCGGCCAGAACACTGGGAACATATCGCGGGCAATGCAACTCTCTGTCGGGGGGGGGGGGATCCTCGGACCACCCCCGGAATGCAAAGGCCCGTTCAACAAACTTCTGGATGGCGCAACCCAGGTAACAAATAATCCGCTGGCCCCATGAGGGCCCAGGAGGCGAGCGGAGTTAGGTTCCTGTATCTAGATTGCGTCATTCCTGCCCCACCTGCCCCTCAGCCCCCCCTCCCCCGCCTTCCACCTGCCCACTGGTTCAAGCCATGTCATCATTCCTGCAAACCAAATATGCAATCGCACGCACCCCCGCTGCAAACCCTACGACGCCATGTTCCGTCCAACAGAGCTACAGGGATTACAACTACTCCTCCTTGCCCCTTACTAAACACACATGCCTCGCATATGCACGATTGAATACGGGCACCGAGCCCCGGCCAGGGGGCGCCGCCCATAACCCCGAGCCTTGCGCCGCCCAGCCAAAAGGCTCCAAGTATACAGCGGGCAAACAACGGCACGCGCCATATGGCGCCGAGCGTTTCGGCCGAGAGTCTCGGATGCACAGTCTGGGGGCTCAGGTCGCGCGTCTGTCTAGTGTCCGAGACCTAATGGCATGGGCACAGAGCGCAGGGTCCAGGACCCCAGGTCTAGGGCCTTGCGCCTGGGACTTGAAGCCAAAGGTCCAGGGTCTAGAGTCATGGACCCAGGGTGTAAGGCACTGGGCCTCAGGTCTACGATGTAGGGCCCGAGGTATTCGACGAAGGTCTCAAGTAGCGGACATGCGTCAAAAGCCTCAAGTCGATGGCCCACGGTCTGTAGTCTCTGAGCATGGGGCCTGTGATCCATGAACAGTGCTCCCGCGGTCTAGGAGCTCGGGTCTACAATGAGTTGTAGTGCGCCCAGGGTCTATGCCACAGATACCCAATAGAAGTTTTACGCGGCGTCAATTGCACGGAGCCTCGGGTCTAAGAGTTAGGGTGCACGTAGGGTCTGGGGTCCACGGTCGGGGGTCTTACACCAAAGGCCGATGGTCTAGGGTCCACGGCGCGTGGGTTTAAGGTCCGCAGTCCAAGGGTCTAAGGCCCGATGGTAGGGGCATCGGCCTCGGA